GCTACTTTTGCTGCAAATGCACCAGCCGGCTGCTCCACAAACTAAGCAGAGCCAAGGGGCACTTTTTGCATTTGCAGCCCTGGCACAGCAGGCGCTGAGCTCCCCGCCCCGGTGTACCAGCACTTTGGATGCTCCTAATAGCTGGCTGCGTGCACATACAAAATAATTAAATCTTCAAACGGCTAACCCGTAGCACCAATTAAAGAGACAACCTCATCTTTCATAGGATTTATTACTTTCAGTGTTGTTGCCACAGGTATCCAAGTTTGAACGTTGTTTAAAGCAGGCTTTCAAAGGGGATATAGACTCACCTACCTCCAGGGAGAATGCATTTACTTTGTTCAGTAGACTATAACTTAAAATTTGTTACATGCACCAGCTTGTAACTCTTTGAAAAACTCCCTGGTTAGCCAGCTTCAAATGCATTTTATGAACTTGCCCCGATCAAAGCAATTCCCTCAACAATGAACCTCATCTTGCAATCTCACTGGCAAAAAAGGCACCGAACAAATTTTGGGGATGGAAATCACAGCTCAGGCCAGGAGGGGACTCTCCCCTCCCAACCTACTTAACAATTCTCAAACAAAGAGCTCCCTTTACCACAAAGCAAGGAGGAAAAGACATTTAACGGCAAATTCTGCTGCTCAAAAGGAAGAAAAAGAGAAGCTATTTTGCCACAAAGCTTTTATTCCTTGCAAACAGAATAATCTGTCAGCAGGAGATAGTACGGGCTCCTGTTTCAATAGGACGCAAACCTGGCAGCACGCACTTTTGCTGATGCTGACGGGAGACAGTTGCCTGCTCTTTACATTCGGTGCAGATACAAAGCACCACTAGTGAGCTGCACGGCAAGGCCGGGATGGCCTGGCGAGGCATTAGCTCACCCAACCGTTTATCTTGGTTTTATTTCCCCGCTCCGTGTAGCCCCGACTCCTTCGACAAGCCACAATGTCAGCGCCGAGGCTGGAAAGAGACAATGAAACTTTTTCACCTCCTGCCGCTCTGTCTTAATGTCAATTAAAAATGGTTATTTCCACGTGGAATTTAGTGTGTGCAGTTTCCCGCTAGAGGTGCAGTTTTATTGAAGTGCACTGGGAAGGGGGGAAGGAAAGGGGAGTTTGTTTCTGATCAGATTAGTCATCTATGAACCATGGCATGGTGGTGGTGGTTGGGGGGAACGGAGTAACAATTTTAAGTGTTTTGCTACTGCAAATAACAAACTAACAGTTTGACACCAGGATGACGAAACCACAGCCTTCTAGGACCAGGACAATAGGCACAGGCTGAGCGTGCTGGCTAAAATAAAATACCAGCAGCAAATAACACAGCTTACTCTGGAAAACACTACTTGCAGCTCAAAGCCCCAGGAAGACCAACTTTCCTGTGGTGACCTATATGTGCTATAAATGCTGCAGACATGGTTTGCATGACGTAAGCTTCATCCTAGTGGCAATTGTTGGGTTTCTCCTCGCCAAGAAAATGCAAAGCGGAGGTGCTGAATTGTCCATAGGCCTGGATGGCTAAACCAGTTCCTCCCCAGTGCATTTAAGGACAGAAATGAGGGAAACAGCAGCAAGGTTTAAAATAAAACCAGGAGACAAATATAAAAGCATAGAGATCTCAAAGCTGGAGGGCCTGCATTAACACTCTGAATTTTCCTAGCCTGGAAGAGAGAAACAGTCCCCCTTTGCAAAGAGGCCACTCGCACGAGTACCAGTAGCTTGACGGAGGCGACCAAGGCAGTTATTAATTGGGATTTGAAGAGGATTCAAATTTGGGGCAGTTTTATCATAATGGTTTTCTAGTAGCACTGTTTTAAATTATTGCAGTTACCTTATTTACCAGCTGGACTTTGGAAGCAAGAATCTTATCTTGCCAAATAGGGTATTTTGGCTGAAAGTCAGCAGGGTCACTGCCTTGCTCTTTTCACTTCTAACTTCCCCTAGGGAGGAAAGGGCCTCAAGTTAATAGCTCCTCTGGAGGTGAAAAAATAAAAGCTACAAGCTGCCCCAGGATTTCCCTGAGGAGGAGGGGGATGAAGAGCAGGGGGGTCATGAGTGCATGCTTCCAAAAGTGGGTAGAAGCATAACATACCTACTTTTCTGGCACAAAAGACAATGTCAGTTTATTATTTTGCAGTTATTTCAATAAATCTAATGAGATATTTACGTTATGGTACATGCAACTGAGCTAGGACTTAAGAGAGTCAGCATTTGCTTCTCCTTTCTGAGTGCAGGGACAGCAGCGGAGGGGAAGCACTGCATTATTTTATCATGGATATGGGACACTAATTGAACAGAAGTGTTTAAAAAAAACACTAGATACATTAGAGGTGAAATCTGGCCCTTCCTGCCTGGCAAGAAGATTTAAGGAGTTAATCTCCAGGTCCAGATTACAGAGTGGCTGCAAAGCGCTCTGCTCCCTTGACAAGTCTAGGTCCCCAAATCCAAAGACCATCTGCTCTTCACCCTCCAACCACATTAGGGCTGGTGACAATTCAAATCAAATTTTGAGCTAGATGGCTGGCTATGCCTTTGGGGACGAACCAATATCTGATTGCAACTTGCTGTCAATTGCTCAACTAAGCTAAACCAGCATCAACAATGTACAAAAGCAACCACTCACCACTAAGACCTAGTTTACACACGCTTTGGATCCTTGAATAGAGGCAATGCACCCATGTACACAGCACATCTTAATACCTTACTGCAGTTATTCCTCCAGCCAGCCAAAAATCAACCTTCAGACACCCAAATCAGAAGGAAGCCAGATTTGATAAGAAAATGAAATGTTCCCCTTACTCCCTAAAGGTGAGGCTATGAACAACCAGCCAAAGGGATAACTGCTGGAAGCCATTGCCAAAGCGAACAGTTTCCCTTAAATCAAGCCCTGAGCTGCATTTCCAATCTGGGATGCCCATCTGCTGGATGGGAGAGCCACACCAGAGCCCCGAGACCGGGACAGCAGCGATTGTGAAACTTCTTTAATGCAGTTATATAACATCAGTTCGCTGTTTTTATGAACTGCTCACAGCCAGACTCAAAAAACAGCAGCCTAGAGGAAGGGTGGTGTCAACATTACCTTTCATTCACCCGAAAGAAAGGGAGGAAAAAAAGAAAAGATTTTGCGTCTTTTCAGCTGCCGTGCAGCGGAGCAGAGGGGGGTCCAGTCACGGGTCTGGCTTTACCATCCAAGCCCTGTTCCAGGCTGTGCTCACTGGCCAGCTCTATAAATCAAGCGGCCAAGCCAACCTCTGAGCAGGAAATGAATTAATGCAAGCTTGCTCCATTACTATTCTCTTGCTAGCGTGTAGTGTGTCTTTGGTGGATTATTTTAACAGCGAAAGTCTCAGGCACATACGCACACAGGAACACTCACTAAAGAGATCAGCTTCCATCTGGGTTAACTGGAGAGTTTTCTCCCCTTGAATTTCCTCCTTTCTCTCCAGCGCCCACTCAACAGCTTCCCTCCCTGTAAAAATGTTTGTTCGAAACTGTTTTGACATGCAGCTAAACAGCCAGATCTGAAAGCTTCAAATTTCACTGACAAGAAAGGGCTGGAGTGGGGTGAGGGCAGGCAAGAAGATCCCTCTCCAACGTGTCTTCTGCAAGTTTGCCCAAGAGCTGTCCCCTGACACACTGCAGCGTCAGTGCTGCTGTCCCGAAATCCTGCCTGGGTCTGCAGGATGCTGCCGGCACCCCTCAAGTGGTGTCCGTTGGGATGCCCGCCATCACAATATGCGTGAATGGCAATTCCCTAGGTCCATACAAACTCCCCGTGCCACCAGGCCAAACATGCCCACCCCAATAGCAAGGAAATCGCCAGCTTCACAGGGCCTGGAGTTTCCCTAATCGGCTCAAGTTAGCCCAGGGTAGAAAAGGTCAAGTTTTAACCACCCACAAAGCATCAGCGTGTTTCGGTAAGAAAGGCAAATTAACCGAACTGCCTGCACCCTGTGTGAACAGCAGCCTAACACAGCCCAGGCTTCCCTGGGCATCAAAAGCCCGGCACAACCAGGGAATTCACCACTTTGACTTCAAATTAACCAGTGCTGCGTTTCTAAATCTGACGCCTAAAGTTATGCACCCTTCTGAGTTTCCTACCACAGTCAGGTTAGCAGCTCGTCCCTCCCTGTAGACGTTCCGTTCCCTTGTGTTTGAGTCCCTTTCCTTCCCCCACCGGCTGTGTCAGCAGGGATTAGGCTACGTGGCTGACAAAACACCAGCACCTCTGGGCAACTCCAGTCACTGCTCGGCGCTACTGGAGAGCAGTGAGGAAGAGAGCAGGGGGGTGCTCCTGGCTTTGTGGCAACTGCAGCAACATGGACCAGGCAAGGTCTGCTCCCGGGACCTGCACAACTTCTCCAAAGCTGCGGCAGGGATCTAACTCAGAGATTCACAAAACAGCTCCAGCCACCTTTGCTGCCGCTCTCCATGGGAAGGCTGTGTCACCGTGAGTTATCTGATCAGCAGCGCTTTGCAAAGCCACCTTTGGGAATGGAGAGATGTCCCACAACAGTGGGGAACCCCGCTGGAGGAGCTGCATGGGGAAGATACCCAAATTTCACCAATGTCTCCCTTCAAAGCCTTTGGGCACCTGAGCCCCAGGAACTAGCCATCAATGAAGTATCTTCTCAGTGACGTACAGTAAAAGTCTTCCAGGACGTACATCTGCAGACACACGTTCATCTAAGCAGCTCAAGAGAACAGCATTGACTGTTCTTAGACCACGCCAATCAGAGCTGCAAGGCAACAACCTTCGGTTCAGGTAATGACTTCTTAATTGGAGAAAGAGCAGCAAGGCAACTCTGCCTACCCACACACATGAGGAGCAACAAGAAAAACATCCTTATGCAGAGAAACAGCAGCAGATCACCACCATAACAATACACAGCACCACAGACCTACAGCAACCCCTCTGTTTAGATCTTCGGAAGAAAATAGAAATTTATTGCAAGAAGCATTACACTGTTAAGACAAAAAAAATTAAGATGACAGTACCTGATCCTCCAAACTGAGTGCTCGCTAGGGTCGTGGGTCTGTTTTTTCCATTTGCCACTGGCAGAGGAAACATCTAGAAAAACAAGAAGATGAGAGAGAAGGGAAGAGAAAAGAGATTTCAGTATGTTAGTTTTGCTGTGCTGCTGTAAAGGGGGTCAGATCAGGGAGACGGGGGGAGGAAGGGGGGAAGAGAAGCACTTTATTGATGCAAAAAACTTCCTCTTCTTGTATCCCTGCTATATAGATCAGCTGCAGAAGGGACGGGAGAGCGACGCAGCTGTGTGCTAATATACACACACATTCTTACACACATAAACTTCTGTGTACACAGTATGTCTGGTTCCTTAGGTGCAACGGAGAACGAGCCAAGAAGTATCATTACTGTGGTCAAAACCAACAGTCTCTTTCCTAACTTTTTCACAGAGGCCCAGACTAGAGGATGCCCAGGAGGCCATGGAGTAAGGCTGACTTCATTCATAAAAAGCTAGTGCAAAGACTACAACACCCAGCAAAGATTATAGCACCCAGCGAAGACTACAACACCCAGCAAAGCTCATTTTATCCCTAAACCCATCAGCACGCAAGGTGGGCTGAGTTCAGTTCCCGTGTCTCTCCCAGGCCTGCCTCCAGCACGGCTCTGTGCTTGAGGAGGGCTGGGGTTGCCTGCAGGCTTCCAGCTGGCCAAGACAGGGATGACTAAATTACACTCCCTCGATTGTCGACCTCAGCACAGGACACCCTACGCCAGCCCTAGATGAGCCCTCCTCCTTGGAGGGACAAACCCTACGATCTGTCTCCCAGCCCCAGTCCTTTGGGGGCTACGGCACTGCTAATGCAGCAAACAGTCTGTGAGAAGCTGGTGGGAGAAGCTTGGCTAAGTGCATGATTTTTTGACTCACGATTAACATATTTTTATAATATCAGTCATTCTGGCTGCTTGTTTGCTACCCTGCTGCAGCTACAATATCACAGCTAATCTTCTTCTGCCAGGGAGCTTCCTCCAAAATACTGCATACCTAGTGAGCTAACCTGTATAAATATTTTTAATATAAGTTGGGAGGGTTTCAAAAGCTGTTATTTAAAAATGTATATGCACCTGCGTGCTGCAGAAAAGAAAACTAATTCTTCTGCACACAAATGGAGCTCTAGCCAATAAAACAACTGGTGAGAAAACGCTTAGTAAATTAACATTTTAATATCCTTTTACTACTCAAGATACTTTCACCACCAAGTCATTTGAATTTTTATTATTTTTAGCTGTGCAATGTCTGAGTAACCCAAAAGTTTAATGCTTTGAAGATTAAACAATGCAATAGCACAAGAGCCTACAGAAATACAGCATTTCATGCCCTGACATAGCTGATGTCTGGCTGTGGTCAGAAACATTCCTTTGTACAAAACTGTCTGCCCAGCTTTGTTTTTACAAATGCTGGGGAGAAAAAAACACAGTTAAATGTGGTAGAGATGCAAAGAGAGCAGTCAAGCAACCAGCTGCCATTCAAAAAGCACACAAATTTGTGACTGTATATCTGCATGCACACATTTATATATATATATTATATATACACACACATATGTGTGTGTGTGTGTGTGTGTGCATGCATGCGTGTGTGTGTATTTAAATATATGTGTAAACAGTGTTTAAGTACATACCCCTGTAAACAGTGTTTAAGTACATACCCCTGTGTATGGAGAAGTCATTCCTGCCAACAGCAAACCTGAAGACACCTGGCTCCCTACACATTCACACCCTGGTTCTCCTGCCAGCCCCCGCAGCAACGCCACTATCCCTGCGCCTCACCGCACACGCTGTCAGATGCGCAGCACCCACGGATGCTGCCGGGGCAAACCCCGGGCAGCTGCTGTCCCCCCAGTTCCCCAGTACCCACATGCCCAGGGGGCGTATCGGAGGCCGAGCCCCTGCACTCCTGCCCCAGGGCCGGGTGCCATGAGCGGGCTCAGCAGTTACTCGAGGTGGGCCATCAGATCTACCACCAAACATGCCTTGTTTCCTCAGGAAGTTGAGCTAGAAAACAAAAACAAAACCCAATGACGCTGAAGACCTGCAAGCTGCCTTCCTTTGCAATGCCGCAGAGGACTTTTTGCGAAGGACAGCAGTCTTTGAGACTGCTAAAAGTGAAGTTTGTATCACTGATCCAACCCAGCCTGTTCTCACTCCCTCTTCATAAGGTAGGGAAGAAAATTAAATGAAGTGGTCAGAAACCCCCTTTCCAAGTGGTACGAGGCAGTTCTGCATATGCAAGAACACAGGGGGTTGGGATGTACAAACATAATGGTATCAAACAGCAAAAAGAGGAAAAAAAAAAAAAAAAAAAGTAGCACCACTGGCCCTTTTCCGCGAGCGTTTCTGCTTAATACTTGCTGATACTGAAAAACCCAAGATTCGAGTTGCAAACACCAGTGGAGCAAATGACCGGCTTTGTTCCATTGTGCAACGAGCACTTTCAACTTCTGCAAACACGGTGGTCCCCCCCGCGTGGCCCCGCTCCCCCCAGCCTGCCGGCTTTCGGCAATCCCCAGCACACCCACGCACACGGGCCCTGAGCAAGGGATGCCCTCCCCACCTCTCACCTTCACCCGCCTCCGTCTGTTTTGTGAGATATTTTGAGACTGATGTAACACCTTCCTGTTCTCGCTTCCAAAGGAATTAAAGCATAACTGACCCCTTTTCCACATCAAAGAGAGCGGAGATGCTCAAGCGGCATGACATTTGAGGAGAGGGAACCCCGGGTTACTGTTCGCTTCAATAAAGACTCCAAACATATTTATCACTTGCAAACTCCAGGAAGTGTTTCGTTTGCGCTGCCAACTTGTTTTTCCACTGTGGTGTGGGCTGAAGTCAAATTGGTTGCACTGCATCGCGGAGCGGGGCGCAAGTCATATGTAAAGCACTCTCTGCCTTCGTTCACTTCTGTCACTCAAAATCAAAGTTCACCCACCCACTGCAAATTTCCTTTCTCCTTTTAAACGCGACTTTAAAAATAAACGAAGGGGAAGAGGGAAACAAACTGAAGAATTGGCATGCACTGGAGGGACCCAAGCATGGAGCATTTAAGAATTTGTAATTGGGTCATTACTTGTCCTTTGTTGGATTTGACTAATGTAGATTTAAGCAGTTATGTAAAATCCCCCATCTTAAGTCTCTGTATACAGTTTCTCAAGTAATGCCTCCAGTCTCCTCGACAGCTGACAACAACTTATGCGTATCCTCATATCTGTATTTCTCCCCTCCTTCCCCAAGAATTAATTCTCCTCCTTTCCTCCCAGATTAAGAAATACAAATCCAAAGTATGGAAAAATTCCAATCCATGCACTTGCCAGTGGGATGTTAAACCTAAGAGACGCTATGTTTTCAAAAGCAAACTCATAAGCAAGTAAGGGAATTTGTCAGACACAAATAACAATATCGAGCAACATTTCATTTATTGTGTACTCTTACCAGTACATCAGTGTTTTCAAATTAAATAGCCGTTCTCACTTCCTCTGCTCTTCCGCCTTATGAACTCCAGGCTGAACCAACCTCAGGCCTGAACTCAAAACCTGAAATCTATTTTGCAGCATGGAAAGCATCCAGCTGTTAATTCGGGGGAGAAGAGGGAATTCGACTCAATAAATTTTGCCAGCAGGATATTTTATATGCGTTCATTTAAGACAGACCTTCCTGACTACAGCCCCAAACGTTCACCGAGGTGTAAAGCAAACTTTACAACCGCTTCACTCTAAACAAAAGCAAGAGTTTTATCATGGAAATGCAGGCACTACTCCTTGGCTAGAGCAGGGCATATGGCACTTTTAGCATTTCAGAAGTAGCAGAAGCAAAGACAGAAGGAGTGCCGGTAACTGAGAGCTGCTCAAGCCCAGCTTTTTTATAATATAGTGTCAGAAAGCTCTGGCAGTTGCGTTTTTACCCTTAATTCAGTGGCTGGAGTCACAAGGGCCAGCAGGCAGTAAGAGCAGTCGCTTGCAGAGAAATCAGGCTGCAGGTCCTACGTGATTGCTCAAGCCTCTGCCTACATTGCAACTTCTCACTAAGTTAGAAAGCCACTATGTATGACAACTAGCATCCCCACAGCATATGGTTAATACTCTGTTAATAATCATGGCTGTTAACAGTATTTCACTTCTGCCATAGACCTAGGCTGGCACACAGCCGCTTCCTTCTATCTAGCTTGGCAGGCTCCTTCTGCGGCATGGACAGGGCCCCCAACCTTGCGTTTCAGCGCCTGGGCTGCTCCCTCCTTTCTCCTGACTCCCTTTGCACAGTAGCGTCCCGGCTGCCCCTCCCTCCCGACACCCTCCCGAGCCACCTCCGCGACATGTCCGGAGCTTCCCGCGAAGCACAAACACCGGCAATGCAGCATGGCCAAGACTGGGACAACTGCACCAAGTTCACATGACCCAGCATCTCCCAGCACACAAAACACATACACATAAGTGCAGCTCTTACTGTACTCATTCTATACCTACATATATAACCTCAAAAATAGACAGCTATGGACCAAAGAATAGCACGTCAAAACCAAAGTCTAAAAAAAAAAAAAAAAAAAGGTTAAGCCAGCAACACAAATCAATAAATAGGATGTCTTCCTGAAAGCCCTCTTCCAGATTTGCAAGCCCTTTCTGGATTACTGCCACAGAGCAGTGGTGAAAGAAAGCTTACAAATTACCTGCACTTTGGGGCAATTATAAAAGGCAATTTGTTCTGAGGGAGAAGTAAGCGCTCTGCTTTGCACACCCCAAAGCAGTGATCAGACTACAGAGCTGGGTGTTTGGCTCCGGCTAACTTAAATGCACATTACAGATTCCTTTGATTTTCACCCTTATTGGCAAATTACCTCAGCACAAAGCTCTGGAGGAGTGCTTTCCAGTTCAATAACTACCTAATTTATTTATTTATTAAAGATGGCATGAGTCTTTCTTTGCCAGACTATAAGCCCAATTTATAACATCTCATACAGCCCTGCCCTTTAGTGACCCCACAAACTCATGTCTGCCCATGCAACCTAATAAGGCCAGGACTTAAAATTCACTCCCGGTACAGCAAAGCACAGCACAGAGCTGGACCACAAACTACCAGGGGCCGAACATATTTTCCCTAGAAAAAAGGAACTGAAATACTGATCTGAAGTGAATGCTTCTGGACTCTCTCAATCTCTCTAGTCTTCTCTCCTGTCTGCTGTCCTGAAGAGAACCCAATGCTCTACTCCTGCTTTTTCAAATAACAATATAAATATACTTGATAGAGAGTTTTGTGGTCAAAAAGCCTTCATCCCAGTGATGCAGGGACAGCAGCCCATGTAGCAGCCTCTACAACATTCCCACACTGCACAAAACAGTCTACTAGCTCTATGTTTTAGCTACTCATTTTCTAGGAGATATGCTAATATCCTCTTTATGCAAACTCAGGAGAAGGGTGTGCATGTGCAGAGAGGAGGGTTTGTGAAACAGATCTGGCTCAAATCCAGACTGCGCTGGAGCCCATCGGCCAATTTATCCTGGAGGGAACGTCTTCAAATCATTTGTTGGCAAATGACATTTGCAGGCCCTCATCCTGCAAGCAACCATCCCCAGTGCTGTTGCTCAATATGCAAGTCTTACATGAATACAGGACAAATTCTGGTCATTCTCCAGGTTTTCACCAACATAAAAAGAGCTGGAATCGAACCCAAATTCAACCATTAGCTGTAGGTTAATCTCCAAGAACAGAAACGTTCATGTAGAGAGGGAACAGGTCAGGACCTCTCTAGGGAGCACAACTCTGTGAGCATGCAAATGAGGATGGTTCGTTAATATTGAAAATAAAGTCTTGGGTTTTTTAAAGCTCCACATGGTGAGTGGGATTCGATTTTTTTCTAAGGGGGAAAAAAAGACAGACAGGAGTTACTACAGTCCTGAACTGGGAGCAGATTATGGATTACTGACCCAAAGCGTAGTTCAAAACCTGGCACTTTCACACATATGAGACAGCGAGCTCCAGGACTCTTGCCAAGCAGCAGAACCTCTAAGATGAGAGGGGAAAAATAACCACACACTGCTCCTCAGTGAACCCTGAATGTATTTCTATTTTTAAAAGCATACTGTCACCACAGTCCCCCTACCAACTGTAAAATGTGCTACCGTAAAAAAAAAAAAATATTGCTGTTAATTAAATGGGACCAACCTCCCTACAGAAGCTGAAAATTAGAAGAATTTATCCTTTCTTTCTGGAGGAGAATTGCTCTTACGTGGGATAAAGGAACACTACCACAATGCCTGCCTGCGCTGCAGAGCTCTCCATGGACTGATACAAGTCCTGGCTGTACGAAAAGGTTTATTTCCCATTGCTAATCTTCTGTGCCTAGGTACAGAAGAGGTGCCAAACTTCAGCACTCTTTGCAGGAGTAACAAGTACAAGGAGAGTGGGTGCCCCTAACTTTGCTACTCTTTTTCCCCTCTTTATTCTTCTCCCTTCCTCTCCAAGGGAGGGTAAAATTAGCTCACAGGGGGCTATAGCCCTGCACTGGGTGACCCAGTGCAGCCCAGGTCCACAGCTGTGTTGCTAATAGTTACTCCTCCTCATGGAACGGTTTTTTCCATCTTCACAGTACATTTGCTTATCTAAAAAGCAAGACACACACTCCCAGTGCCATGAGGGTGCAGCACGCGACAGAGGAACCACACAGAAAGTTACTTTCTTTTGAACATAAGCTCCCCTTCCACAAGTCACCTGCCAACTACAGCCGGCTCCAGTGCCACAAACACGCAATTTACACTGTGTGCCACGTTACTGACTGCAGGGGAACGGAGGCCACAGCACAGATGACTGCGCTAAGGACGAGCCCTTACTCTGCTATGATAAGAAGGGACTCGTCTTCCCTCTGAGATGCATACGCTTTTGAGGCAAAGTTCTTATATTCTGTTACTTTAAATGCAACTAAAGGCTTCCAGGACTGAGAAGAGCAGAACGTGGGGAACACAAGAGTCTAACTCCTGCAAAAATAATGCACTGGAGAGTTTGGATAAATTTCCAATACAGATAGAATAACCTGTAGGAGCAAAAGTTTAATAGTCTGGATATGGGAAGAGGAAAAAAGCCTGATTAATCAGCTACTTAAGCCACATCTTTGCATTAGTTTTGTATCTATGGCTTCAGGAGCAGTTATCCGGCACTTTTGCAGTGAGCATTTAAACACAACACAGACAACGATGTTACATTTCCAGAGAATTTCCCATCCTCCCCCCGCCACCCTCAAAAAAACAAAACAAAAAAAAAACCAAAAAACCCAAAACCCTCTCTGCACTCACTGCGAGGAAACCATACACATTTGGGGGGGGGGAGGGGTAGAGGCTTTGCTTCAACTCGAAAATAAACAAGTTGCAGCACATGTGCCCGCACACAAATACACAGCACATCTGAAAGCCATCACGTCCAATTTCCAGGCTCACGTTTCCTCCCTTGTGCAGCTCCAAAACACTGCAAATAGGCAAAGCCCCAGGCCCTTTAAAGCCCCCCGACCGCGTTCGCTTACCATACTGAAGTCCAGCAGGTCACTGAGCTCTTTGTCTGTCCCAACTGCAGCCATTCTCTGCTGCTGCTGATTCATACTCCCACAGACTCAACAGTGGCAGTCCTAGAGAAAGCGAGGGGGAGGGGAAGAGATATTTTAATGACTAGAGCAAACCACCCACCCCATTGATGAATATTTAAAAAAGACAGAGCCAGAGAGAAAGGACCAAAAAAAAAAATCCTTTGCGTCTCTCCAGCATCCAACTTCTGTGCTGAGAACACAGTCAAAGTCCTCACATAGCACCCAGAGGCAGGAACAAGCGCTCTATTGACCAGACACACTTGTATGTTAGTTTTTTGCTGCCAATCCCACTAGTTCAGGCCAATTCTGTTCCTGGCGTGCGGCGAATGAAAAAAAAAAAAAAAAAAAAGAGTCAACTCATTTATCAAAGGGTTCAGGCAAGTTATCACTCAGGCGCTTGTCTGGCTCAGCTTCGCCCCCTCTCCTTCCCCCACGCTCGCTCCCTGCAGGAGGCTCTCTTGTCCTTGCCTAGTTTTCTTTAAAAAAAATGAGAGAAAAAAAAAAGGGTCCGATCTTATGCCTTTTTCCTGACAGTTGTAGAGCACCTGCAGCTCCTTTTTGAGGGGGGCTGAATTTGGAGATGTCCAGTAACTTTAAAAAGCCAGACTGTAACTAGTGGGAACTGAGCCTCTCTCCCCCACTCCGCACCAAAAGGGACTGGAGGAAAAAAAAAAAAAATTGTCTTCAGAGGGTATTGCAAAAATAAAGCCCTCCAGGAAACCTTGCAAGATAGGTAAATATTATTCTTCCTAATTTTACAGATTATTTTTTTAAAAAGGGAGATTGATCTTTTTGGCTAACTCACTGCGATAGAAAAATATTTCTTTGGGAGGGAGGAAGAGAGGCCTGGGATGAGATAAAAGATTCCTTCCCCCCTCCTCCACTTTTTTTTAGGAGCTCATTCATGGTTGTAAAGGGCAGCTGGCCAATAAATTTAACTCATTAATCATAAGCCTAAAAAAAAAAAAATTAATAAGAGAACTGCGTTCCTTCCAAAGCATTTGTAGGCTGTGCTGGCTCAGCTTGCACTTTTTTTTTTTTAAACTTCATTGAAAAGTTGAAATCAGCCCAGCATGTAAAAACCTTTTGCCACTATAATTAACAGCCAGGGGATTTTTTTTTTTTTTTAATCCTCTTATTTAAGTGTCAGCAATGCGTCTGGCAATTATTTTTAAAGCAACTTGACCAACCTGGTTTTCTTCCCCTCCTCCTCCCCCCCAACACCAGCCCTTGCCCCTGCCTCGACCACCCTGGTCTGAGGAGCTCTCTGAAGAGCTCGTCCCCACCTCTAAGCACCCCGAGAAACCCCAGCGCCACGGGCAAGAAAAGGGAAGGGGAAGGGTGACAGCAGCGGGGCCGGCAGGGGGGAGAAGCATCCCCCTAGCAGACCTCCCCAAGCTCCCTCGACAATACCAGAGCAGCCCTGGACAACCACAGCCCTCGGAGGAGACCTGGAGCCATCGGCAGCTCTCGCAAAGACCACAGACCAGCACACACCAAAACTTCAGTATGCTCCCCCCACCCCCAATTTTAACTTCAAATTAGTGGCCCAGGAAGCAAAAGTCCTGCCCTCGCCTTGTGCCATGGGAAGGGTTTTTATTTGTTCACCGGCTTCTAAAACACAAAGGCCGCTCAAAAC